GGGAGGGCATGGGCAGGAGATGGGGCCCGGGGGGGTCAACATCCCTCACTCCATTGCCAACAACCCTAACATCCCACCTGAGATCATCCATGCATTGCAGGCTGGACGACTGGGCACCACTGTGTTTGTTGCCAATGTGAGAACATAGAAATAGACAACCACCAAATCCAGATAGTGATGATTAATCATGATGAGTACTAATATCCGTATCTGATGTTTTGCAGCTGGATTTCAAAGTGGGCTGGAAGAAGTTGAAGGAGGTGTTTGGCATGGCTGGTGTGGTGAAACGAGCCGATGTAAAGGAAGATAAAGACGGCAAGAGCCGCGGGATGGGAACCGTTACTTTTGAGCAGTCTCTGGAGGCTGTGCAGGCCATATGTATCCTTCACAAGGGCACACTAGTAAATTGAAGTAATGTTCTACATTTTTTTAGCGCTATCCCTCCTTGACTCTGGCCTCAGCCATGTTCAATGGACAGATGCTGTTTGACAGACAGATGCATGTGAAAATGGTATGATTCTTTCAATTGTTGTGAAAATGAATTCTCACATCCTCTGTACAAATGAAGTTACACCTGTGTTGTGTGGTTTTACAGGATGAGAAATCTGTCCCCCCAGATGATTTCCGCCCGGTTGAAAAAACTCCTCAGTTACCACGTAAGTACTTCATTGTCTCCCTTTCGGTTGTTGATATTAAACACATTCATAGTAATATGCTCAGTGAATTGTGTATAGTAGAAACATTGTCAGTGTAAGAGGTATAATATCCTCTGGGAACAAATACGATGCAAGTAAAATTGCATATATATTGCACAGTAATGTGAGAAAGAAGTATGGCTTTTAGCCCCCCTTATTTTTTCCTCATTTGCTCGTGCTTCATCCTCTTTTCCCTTATTTAAGGAGTTTTTCATATATTTTTTTACTAACCGAAGTGAAGGTCAAAATGCATAAAGGATTTCGAATGCTGTACAGATTGTTATGCCCCCAGAGGCTGATTTGGGATATTGTACTATATAAATAAAATTGACTTGACACAGGTGAATAAATAACATCTATTCTACCTGACAGCAATGCCCTGTGCAGTACATCATCCATTCTTTAGAGTTGGTTCATTGCTGATGCAGTAACAGATCGTGTAAAGATACATCTGTGCACAATTAACTTAACAAATGTTGTATTAAGAACACCACATTCTCAATGTGTTTTGTCCCTAGCATCATTGATTAATTATTTCGTTTTTTTATTCATTCTTATACTAAGTAAGGTACCATTGTTACTAGTGATATACTTAGTTCAAACTTTCCTCTTTTTCTTGTATATTTTGTCTGTAGGGGGCCTAGGTGGAATTGGCATGGGACTGGGACCAGGAGGCCATCCTATTAATGCCAACCGTCCGAGTGGTGGAGGAGGAATGGGCTCCATGGGGCCAGGAGGTCAGTCATCTCTCAGATGTTCTACTTATATTTTGGCATGCACATGACATAGTGTGTTGCAAACTGGTCTGTTTATTAAGACGATGCTTATCATAGACAATCAGACGCATCTCCACTACCTGTCCAACACATAAACGCCATAAGGCAGCATTTTGAACACCATTCTGTAAAATAAATCCCGGCAATCCGACATACACCTTTTCACCGTTCAAGTCTTGGTTGACATTTTCATGGCTCATCTTTTGACCCTGCAGCAACCTCAATGTGGGTTAAAGCGATAAGACGAGCAAAGCTCCTACCAGCTGACTTTAACACTACTACAGGGTACACACAGTACCTTTTTACGTGGATATATACCCTTTGGATATAAATGGATACAGTATGTGCTTTGGCATAGCCTGACTGATATCATCTTTTTCCATAGGCATGGATGCTCAAGGTTATGGTGGAATGAACAGACTTGGAGGAGGTACGGTTCTGCTGAAAGACTAATGTCATCTTTTTGTAGAGGAAAGGAGAGACCAATGCTGAAACTTGGTTTTACCTTCAACAGGAATGGGTGGTGGTGGTGGCGGCTTTGGGGGCATGGAGAGCATGGGCAACACAGGGGGCTTTGGAGGGAGAGACATGGCGCCAGGTGGCAGGATGGGAGGTAAGTGAGCATCTTATTCACTCCTACTGAGCAGAGATGAGACCTGCCAGGATGTTGTTCTACAAACATTGCTTTGTACATTTGTGTTATTGGTCATTATGTCTAATGTTACATTTCTCTCTGTGTTGAGATATGCACCGGTCAGGAATGGGTGGCATGGATCGAGACTTTGGCCACAGTGACATGCCAATGAGTCGAGGATTTGGTGATTCGTTTGGAGCAATGGGTAGGCAATACAAAGTTATTCTGTTAAGTTTGGTTTTGAGTGGATGTGGTTTAGTTTGCTTTTGTGTTTTTTTTCTTCATATAGGGTGATTGTTTCTGTGTTTACTTTGAAAAAGTTGTGTCATGATCTAAACTAATCAGCACTCACTTGCATTCTCTTCTTTAGGTGGAGGTTTTGGAGGAGGCATGGGCAGTGGTGGCATGGGGCACATGGGGACTGGATTAGGTACATGAGATATTCCATCCACATCTTTTTCTAAATCTGTTAGATATTAATTCCTCCCCTAAAACTATACATACACACTGGCCTAGAGCTACTTGTAAGCTACAGTTATGACCTGGAGAAACTGATGAACTCAGTACAGGGATTGACTCTCCTCATGTGTTGTTCTTAAACTGAACCTAAAGTTCCTGAACACTGGTGTACGGCGCATAGCGAAGTAAGATCAATGGTCTTCTGCATCACACACTGTATACCTTCACACTGAAAGCCTTAACATTCATGCTTTAGGGCAGCCAACCAGACAGGCAGATTGATGCATGCATGCATACAACAGACTTTAAATAAGACAACATATTTTTACATCATCATTGTACAAATAAAAAAAAGAAATCCTGATTTCTATCACAACAGGCATGAGGGATAATACAATGTGCATGTTGTGTGAGTACAGAGTGAAGACATACTTTTGGCACTGCATTTCTACAAGCATGAGACAGATCTAATTTAGCCGTGTATGCAGATGATGGCAACACATCAATCAAACTGTCTTTTTTGTAAGAACTCTCGTGGTTTGTTCTTGAATAATGCTGTTTCACATTATGATATAATGTCACCATTTATGGTGTGAATGCAATTGGATTCAAACGGAATAGTATTAAATTGATGCATGCAAACAACAGGATTTAAATAAGAAACATTTATTTTTATGTCATCATAAATAAATAAAAAAATCCAGATTTCTGTTATGATTCAGCCAGCCCTTTGGCCCTTTGCACTGCTTCACGCGCATAATCCAAAGCAGCAACTGTGCCTGGGGAGGCTCGAAAGGGTTGTGAACCCCAAACAAGCAGCTTTGCATTTGTTGATTAAAATCGGCCCCTGGATACAGAATAACCGGTGTTAGAGAAACTTCTTATGATGCATTCACAAGATCATTTAAATAATTTCTCATCGGACCCTTTTTTAAGGCGTTGTCTGGTGAGTATTAATAGGTATGGGTCCAAAGTCAGATTTTCTTGTGCAAGCAATGACATTGGACTCTGTGACAACTAATGTTTTCAAGTGATCATTATACACACTTCAGAAATGAAATGTCTTTGGATTAAAGGAATGAAAAGCCCAATGTGAGGTGGATGAAAGGCATCATGATGAGTGTATGTCAGTTACGATATACAAGTATGAAAGTATACAACTACATGAATGTAAATTGCTCCCTTCATTTCTCACAACGTGTGTCCCTGTGTGTGTTTGATAACTTCAGGTGGTGGAATGGGAAACATGTCGATGGACCGGATGGGTTCTGGCTTTGACCGCATGGGCATGTCAGGGATGGACATGAATCGTGCCTTTGGTGGCTATGGAGGTGGGGGGCCGGGCCACATGGGGGGAGGAATGTCTGACAGGGGCTCTGGGTCTAAAGGAGGCTGTCAGATCTTTGCGAGAAATGTAAGTGTGTGTCAGATTATTGAAAACTTTGCTAGAAGAGAATTAGACTTCCGTTAAATAGGATTGGATCTCCAAACCTCACCCCTTATTTAATTAAACTTTCATTGATGTACATAATACATTTTCTTTATGCAGTGATGCTGCAGTAATGACTAATGCTCTAATGGCAAACTGCCCATGCTTGCCGGGCATTAATATAAATGGTAATTATGCTGTAAGAGTTGTTCATGATTGGTGTGTTGATGAATTGACCGGTGCTGCCCTTCAAAGGAAGGTTTTGAAGGATTCTCCAAGGCTGAAATATGTTATTTAGTAACTTAAGTGTTTTTGTTTATTTGTGTGTTGCAGCTTTCCTATGATCTGACATGGCAAAAGCTGAAGGAGAAGTTTAGTCACTGCGGTACGTATTTTGTTTAGAAGGAATTGAATCTCTTTTGCATTATTTACATGATACTCAAAGAATCAAGAGATTTCATTATGAATGTGAAAATCACAGGATAAATATCATCAACACTTTGTCAAACATGGATTTCATAATAACTTGTATTTTTACTGCAGGCCATGTAATGTTCGCAGAGATCAAGATGGAGAATGGAAAGTCAAAGGGCTGTGGGACGGTGAGGTTCGACTCTCCAGAGAGCGCCGAGAAGGCCTGCAGGTTGATGAACGGAACCAAGATCAACGGCCGAGAGGTGGACGTCCGTATCGACCGCAATGCATAAAGCTTTTGTAGAAGTCCGCTAACACACTTCCACATTCAGCCCCCTTGCCAATGATCTTTTTGTTTTGTTTTAAAAACACAATTACTTCATATCTCCATGTGGCCACTTTTGTTTCGTTTATATATACTACATAGCTTTAGTATTTGTTTTGTAAACCCTTTTTAATTTCAGGCAGTAACTTGAACAAATAAACTTTTTAATTTTTAAACCTGGTGGTTGTAAAATCTCCTGAGATCAAAGTCTCTAAATTCTTTACAGCTGTAAAATGAACCTGAATCTGCTCAGTATAATTGCTCAACACTGCCATGCAGTGGGGAAATTCCACAGTAATCACAAAGGCAGCTACTGGAATAAAGTGAGAACAGAATGGGCATGGATTATATCAGGCGTGAATACCAACACTAATCAGAGGAAGCTATTCAAATTCTCAGATATCCATGATAGGTGCTCCAGTAGAATAGAAGTCACTTTTGATTATATTGCAATTGTTACACAGTTTTAATCCGTGTCTAAAGTCCATGTGGGCTTTGTAGGTTAGCTGGAAACACAACTGATAAAAACTTAATGGTAGTTTTACTTTTTAGATAATCTAAGGCAAGTGGAAGGTTTGTTGATAATAAAGGCTTGCTCATAAAAGCTTATCAGAGTTGTGTAGATGTTGCCTCTTTGTTTAGCTCGCCCACTTCAAAAAGAAGGACAGGGCTAAAGGAGTTTAGTTAATACTTTATTGACTGGTCAGTTGTGGATTCTTTTGAACTCAGCTGTCACTCCTGTGCAGCCTCTTAACTGTTTATGGGCCTTGAGTAAGAGAAGACTTCTCAGAACGTGACAACAGGTCCTTGTATGATAAGGCAGGTCTGGATCGGACAGGCTCACACAACAAAATGATCTTTGGCACACATCCACCTTTAGCTAAAAATACATTATATTATGACTGGAGATCATCCTCTTCTTGAGATGTGACCAGCACACGTCTTCCATGGCACAATATCTTTGAAAGTATGTGACCATGCTTCATTTGCTTTAAATTAGTTTTGTTTCTGGAATGTTTGAGTCTGTAATTAAATATGGCTTCAGTTTTGGGGAGATCAGATCTCAGTCCCCACACAGTTTGATGGGATTATTCCCAATAATCCCCAGCTCGTACAGGATGGCCAGAGTGGCAAACAGGATATAGCAGAAAAGGCAAACGATTCCCAACTTCCAGTCCAGCTTCCATCCGTTAATGTGAACAGCTACAAAGAGGAAGATGATGGAAAGTAGCAGCGTGAAGGAAATGAAGAGCAGTCCGCTGCTGTTGACCTCTACAGGGTTGTTGGTATCCACAAAGGCAGTCTTGATGAACCAGGGCAGGCCCAGGCACAACATGTCAAAAACATTAGAGCCCACAATGTTGGACATGGCCATGTCAGCTTTCCCTAAAACACAGAAAACAAGTTCAAGTCTCTTTTCATACAGAAAGTATTTACATGTTCTTCTTCAGTTCTAAAATGCCTGATGGGAAAGGTCAAAGTTAATGCCTAAACCGTACTTTCCATTTACATGTGTAGAATTGTTTAAGAAATGAAATGTTTACCTTCTCTGGCTACCATTACACTGGCTATGGTGTCAGGTATACTGGTCCCAGCAGCAAGCAGAGTGAGTCCCATAACTGTATCAGGAATGCCAAGGGTCTCCCCTGTTAAAAAAAAAAGAACACAATAAGAATGAGCCCCCTCCAACAACATAAAGTTAAAGAGAGAACATCAGCTGATCTTAACTGTTGCTATAGGGTTATTCAATAATCTAGAGCCAGGGTCATAGCAGGATTTTAGAAATACTGAGGTCACAAAACCAAATTCCCCAAGCATAACCTGAGAACGAGTGCATCCACTCCAAATTTAGACAATTAAAATGAGCCACTAACTTAACTTTTGAGCTTTTAAAAACATATAATTGTATCTCCAATGGCAGCTTTAAGTAATTCGAAGCCATTGTGGGTAATGTTTTTATTAATTACTCCTATGCTCCAGTAATACCCAAATATTAACCACATTTTGACATCTAACTGCAGACATGGAAGTGTTCCCAATTATCAATAACGTACCGTATGGTCGAGTTGCACTTTGGCCTCATGCCTGCATTCATAAAACTGAATTCTCCTTGGAGGAGCCTATCTGACAACTACAGGATAATAATCTCTTTATACTTAAGTAGACCTACCACCATCACATGATGGAGCTGTCCTTTCAGCCTGACTAGGTCAGTTACATGTTGTTAGACTTGTGCCTGTGGGTTGTTCTATGTATATCCATGGCTCACATGACTGTTTCCTTAGGGGTGAAGCAGGCAGTAATCCCGGTTTACGCACATGCCTCACTGGAGCTACAATAACCCCCCTCTTAACTTTCTAGGACAATGGCATCTCAGGAATTAGCCAGCAGACCAACATGTGATTCTACTCTGCGAATCAGACAGTTTTTTCTCACAAGTTTCAAACACTTGTGATCCACAAAGGCCTGGTGCGTGACCGGATGATTTATACCTACAACTAAAGGGAAAACACTGGGGGAAGGTATAGATGTTTGACACGCTCATCATAGAATAGAAAAGTGAAAACAATGTTCTTACCGACAATAGTGACCATCCAGACCAGAATGTATGTGAAACCTGAGATCCAGACAGCTGACATGAGGAAGGTTATCATAAACCATCCCTTCCAGAACCTCCTCCTGCAGTCAGGGATGGTCAGGAAGAGCAGAGTGATGAGGGGCAAAGACAAAACCCAGAAAATCCGCTTCAGGTCGCTCTCCGGCACAGCAAACACGCTTTTATGCTCAGCTGGAACCCAAGCAGACAAGCAATGTTATGAGTCGTATTATGTCAGATCATCAGGGGTCATAAAGGTCAAACCGACAGGTGGATGACTCCAGGTAGACATGCTAAAAACAGTGAAAAACATTGCACTAAGCAGTGTTTTTTACCTTCTGGAATCTCATTGAGGCCATGCAGACTGAGGGACAAGTTGGAGTATCCTGAGTCGTCATGGAAGATCCCGCTGTCAGTTCTGGAGCGATTGTGGACATGCAGAGTGGTGTCTTTACTCCAGCCCAGCAGAGTCTGTGTCTCAGTCTTCTCAGCTGATCCGTGGCCCAGACAGGTGCAGCAGGGGCTCAGCTTCCTCAGGACAAACTCGCTGATGCGCAGGTCAAAGCACAGAACCACGATGTAGACACCATAGACCAGCAGCAGGCAGGCAGCGTCGTACCTGTAAACAGAATGTACACTCAGCTTTGACCTTCAATCTTGACCTTGGGGACAGCTATAGGAGGTAAACAAAAACCCGTGACCTTCTTCAGAGAGTGTAACTTGGTCATGTGACTTAAACATCTGAGCAAGTCCCACCAGCTGAAGAGGGCTGTGGAATCTGGTTTAAAGCTCAGGCAATAACCAATAAAGCAGGTGATTAAAAAATATACATCTTAAATAACAAGAATTACATAATTAAAGGGATCAAATTCGAAGTTGTTACAGAATGTCTCTATTCGAAAAGTTGTTAGCTTGTCGTTTACTGGGTCTACTACTTGTTTGATCTACTTTTGTGGTTATGCCTATTGCAGTTTAGTATTGATATATTTTTTATTTTATTTTACAGCTATTATGAAACTCCATATCATGAGCTGTGTGCTTTTTGTAAGCTAACACTGTCTTTGTGTGCTACACCAATTAAGTAATTCCAGTACTTGTGGAAATGTTTCATAAACACTCGAGATGCTGCGTTTGCTTTTTATAATGTAATAATGTCCTATTTAAGGGTCCTTTATTGCTTTGTACTGTCAATAAAAGGCACTGAGTCATAGTACTTCACTATACTTGTTTTGTGATCTGTTTTGATCTGGGTTTTTTTAGTGACACAAGAAGCAATAAACATCTGTCTTGTACAACCACCTGACATGTAGGGTTAAGGTCTGAAGATCATGTAACCAGATCATAGAGCACACTCACCAGTACACCTTGTTATCAGAAATGATGGCAATAACAGCAGAAACACTGATGGCATATGCCAGGCAGTCCCTGAACAGTGGCCAACAGGTGAGGCGTCCGGCCTGATAACGGAAACAAAAATAAATGGTTAACAGCTTATACAATACACATTTTCACATTGACTCTTCCGCTTTGACCCAGTAAAGATGCCGCTGTTATGGACAAGTGGTAACAGCTGAGCTAATCTCTGTCTGAATATTGCGAGTGTGTGATTGTGTCAGAATGTACCATAGAGGCCAAGAGTCCACATGCCGCACAAATTCCTAGCAGGTTGTAGACCGCTGATCCCACGATGGTGCTGACCCCGATGTCTCCCTTTGTCACAAACACACCTAACACACATAAAGAGCACAACTTAGGTCTGAGGACAGGAACAATGTGGAGCATTGATTAAAAGAAGAAGAAGTGTCAAATAAGCTGCTGAAAGTAAAACAAATAATGAAAAGGTCACTGCCTTTTTGTGTTCACATATGGTGGTGGAGCCACAGTTCATTGGATGAGGAAATGACATTGTGACAGTGAAGATGATGCTGGTTGTAATGATTGTTATATTACTGCACGATTACCCAGAAAGGCTGTGACCAGTTCAGGTGCAGAACTCCCAGCTGCCATAAAGGTGGCTCCTGCTACATCCTGAGACAGTCCCAGACCTGAGGGACGCAGGAAACACCAAGAATACATGGCAATTAACATGTGTGTGCAAGCTTAAAGAAATACCTGATTATAATACATTTAATTCAACAAATTCACAAACTACAACCTAGAAAATGACCAGGCAATGATAAAGGAAGCTTCATGCTTGCATATGTATTGTGTCTAAAGTATATATTTCAATATATCGTACAGGATTGTTATCTGCAACTCCTGTGAGTTTCATTTGTCAGACAGAAAATGAACCTTGGGCCCTCTTGTTTTGGGCCTTTTTTACTTTTTGTTCAATCTTTTTATAGGTTAAACATTTTTTCTGATTGATTGAAAATAATCAACATATTAATTAATGATGAAAACATACATGAACATCTAAAACACTGTCCAAACATTTAAACATATGCATGAATGGACTTTTACAAACTCTCTCCACGTATTTAAAGTAATAGAATATCTGAGCAGCCTAATCCTGTGAAGTTTGCCTAGTAATCATTTATAATCCTCATTACTCCCATAATTACAGTTCATGTTATGATGCAATTATTTTAATGTCACTTACGTTCACTGATCACTTCTAAGGAAGGCAAGAAGTAATCGTCGCAGATTATTGCTACAGCCAGAAACATGTAGAAAATAATCATGAAATATATGACTAGCCCTCCATCCTTCCTCTCCTGCACCGTGAAAAAGCCCTCAGGAAACTCAGAGGACTGTGGTGAGATACATTCTGTCTCGTTCTCTAAAAAAAAGAGCAGGAAACACACATATAACTGACAAAATCTGTTACCCAAAACAACTAGCTTGTTGCTGGAGTACAGCACCCAGATTGTTTGAACTCTTAATGGCAGTTACATGGTACTTAGTGCCAACAACACAAAAGGACTAGAGAGAAAAACACTCACATTTGCCTGGCACAAATTGATCACTCACACTTTTTAAATGTGAAAATGAGCCGTGACATTTGTAAGTACACACAGATTAGAAAAACAAAACAAAGATATACCGGAGTATGAGGGTCATACAAAATGCAAAAAAGTATGCTAAACAAATATATATAAATACATATTAGATTTTCTTACCAAGAGCCCGACGAACCCTGGTAGAGTGGGTTTCCTGAGCAGTTTGAGCTGTAAATGATACAAAATGGACGGTGCAATATAAAAATATTACAAATCCTAGAAAGTAAGGTATAAAATCTTTTCTTTTCTTTTTTTGCAGAGCTGAAACCTTATTCATTTTCAATTTTGTAAAAAAAAAAAAAAAAAGTTAAATTAGCAATTATTCCAAGGACTCATATGTTTCTTTACTCTAAAACTGTATCCCTGCAAAATAGTGAATATGGGCTGAAGCTGCAGCTAACACTACACTACACTAGAAGCTGCGGAGAGAGAGAGGGATTATTGGGGGGAAAGCATCTTTTAAGGCCTGGCGCTGCTGAGAATGGGGAATCACGAGTTGCGATTCATTCCAGTCGACTGGAACACGCTCCAGCCTGAGGCGCGTCAGGGGTGTAGTCTCATTCTACACCACCTTAACACACATTATACTGTTAACATTTTCTTTTCTTTCTGGTAACAGACATTTTACACCAATTTACATCCCTCTGAATAATTACAAAAACTTAAAGGACTGAAGGCTGAAGCTCTACATGTTCAAAAGCTTACAATAATACATTGATGTTTGATTTTACACTCTCACTAGAGAATAGAGATAACTCAAAATGTATTTTCTTGGATTTGTGGCTACAAATTAACTGTCAGGATTATTAAACAAACGAAACGTGTTGCTGTTTTATTACTGCCTCTTAAAATATTTTCCTATCATTTTTGTTTTACTCTGCTATATTGAAACGATCGAAGACATTATAAAAAAAGTTTGGTGTGTTTGTGTGTGTCCGAAACCGGCATTTGTTTTCAAATGACCATGAACAGTAATTTACACATCTGGCCAACTCCATAGGTATGTGTCTGTTCGGAATGGTCTGTTCCCAAATCTGAAATAAATGAGTTTAATCTTAATCTCGATGTAGTGCTCATGCTGTCGGAGTGCACCGGAACACTGCAGTCAAATCAGCCGTCTATACAAATATGTTTTACCATAAATTCTTAATAAAACTGACACTGTTGGACTCAGTTCTAGTTTGACTGCTACCAACAATAAAATAAAGTAGGCCTACTTCTACTGTGTACTTTTTCAGTTATTCTCTGTCAAACTCCCCTCCTGAGAACAAATTCAAGCCACTTCTGCTGTATTTGTTGAGGGATAAAATGATTTTTTTGCATGTCCAGATTATAATGTGGATCGTTATTGGTAACAATCAACTGATTCTCATGCATTAGCCTACACTTTCAAATATCATTTATGCCCACTGACATGGTTTGAAATCAATATATTATCCAATTTAGGTACAGGCCTGGGGCCTCATTTATAAAGCCTTGCGTAGGATTCACATGGGAAGGTTGCTTACGTAGGACAAAGCAAATAAATACGCAAAGACATTTTCCGATTTATAAAACACTGCGTACCGGCGTAGGACAAATAATGAGGCTCAGTGGCGGCGCCAGAGATTTATTTTGGGGGTGCTGTGGGGTAGCTTGACGTTTCATAGAGGGTGCTCAAACATTTAGGGTTTCCCATTAATGTACCGGTCGCTACAGTGGAATTTTCTACTGCAACAATCCCCACGCAAATACACAACGTATCTGCAACTGTTACAATGAATGCTCGGGGGAGCGCCCCCCAATTAGAGAACCATGGTTTAGATAAAAGTCATGCATTGCTTATAAAGCAGTAGAAATGTAAATGGAAAAAGCTCAAATAAAATCTTAGAAACAAAAAATGCTTAATTTAACTTTAATACATACAGTTTAGCTCACTCCCACCGATGTATATGGCTGGATAAACAAAAGAAGAAATCAACTAAAAACATAAATTCAATTCAGAAAGGCGTATAGATTAAAACCTAATGTATGAACCTAAAGAACAGTATGGCAAACAAAGAAATAGCAGAAATAAAATCAATGTTTTATTTAAAAATGTATTGTAACATTGTAATCTGCTAGTAAACCACATAAAAAAATGTACCAATAATCTTATTACGCCTTCTTTATGTACAGTAAAGGTAGGGGAATATAGTTACTTTTTTGTAATCTAAATAGGCAAATAGGTTACATGTATGGAAGGGGTGGTGCCGGAATTAGTCCAATGAGTCAGCATTTTTCTACTTTCGGTTCCCTCGTCTCCGAGATGCTTCTGCTGTGTTTATTCGTGTATCTGTGGATGCTGCAAACATGTATGAATATTCATATTTTTAACTTCATTTGAATAATTCTTACTTTTTCCATCGTATGTTATTCATTTATCTTATTTGTTATTTCATTTTACCATAATATTCAAGTGTGTTTGACCTCTTATTTTCCATTCATTATGGCATTCTTTATCCCCTTTATTATAGTCTCATTCTGTCTATTACTACTTAAAGCATGTAGGGCACTTGGTGCAGCATTTCTTATATGGATGTTGCTTCACAAAGGTTTTTTTACATTTATTTTATTCCTTATAATGGCAGCTTCTTGCTCCATAGGGTATATTGTTGCCTAAACGCATTGACAGTATGATTTAAAAAGCCCTCTGCGTCTTCATACTTTTCTTGACAGTTCAAATTCAGAGTTTGAGCACAAAAGTGTATTACCTTTCAAAATAAAAGACGTATCAGGTAAATGTAAAACCGACGTGACCATTTTGATAATTATTTTGCTCTCACAGTGATAAATTAATTCCAAACTAAATACAAATGTTTTTTCCACACTTGCGATATAATATCTGTTAATAAGCAATAGCGTTGTGTTGGGAGTATTTATATCCTTTTTTTTTTTTTAAAGTAACAGTACCAATACAAAAAGTAAAATTCCTGTTTAAAATAATATTTAAGTAGCCTACTTATTCTGGAGAGAAATGCCTACTATAACTGATAAATGAATATAGTTGACATTATATGCATTATAACTTAAATAGGATAATTCATCTATTGTACTTTATTAACAGTTAAGTAGTTCAGTGTTTCCCATCATAAGGATCCTAAAATAGACATATGGTGATTAATTGAAGAAGAAAGAAGAAGAAAAAAAAATCAAATGGACAATACCTTTTTTATTTTGTAGGATTCCTTTGTGAATACTGGTCTGTTTACCTCTTTGGTCCTCAGGCAGTTATTCAAATGAAACTACCTGAGAAGTTTAAAGGGGAATCTCTATTGGTGAAACTAACTAAGCTAACAACTTGCCGACGAGATACTAATTGTCTGTCAAGAGTCATTGAACAATGTATTTTCTCTGGAAGCTTATCCCATTTTTCACCTTAATTGACTTGCAATTAACTTTATTCGTCAGATAAATGCAGTGGACAACTAGCATTAAAAAGTAGTTAAGTACACGTGCCTAAACATTTTGACTGCAGTGCATAACTGATGCTGACTGTTTTGGCTCTGCAGACTTGACTTGAGCAGATTATTTATGTAAATAAACATTTTCTGATTTGGTCCAGAAGTAAGGCATCAGGGGGCATCAATATTTAGAATATTTACAACTCAAATCATCCATTCAAACCAAAGTTAACAGCAAAACGTTGAACTCTTATCCCCCCTCAGAAATATTCAAAATCAAATCAAGAAAAAAACAGTGTTTTCAAAAATATATAAATTAATTCATACTGCAGACTTAACAATGTCCATCCCTTCAAATACATAGGAAAAAGATCTACAGACCACCCCCAACGCCGACTTGACTTCTGGTCCCAAATCTGCAGAAACATCTTCTCCATATCAACCAACACCAACATGCACCTCATACAATATAAGATTATTCACAGAGTGCACTACATGGGGGAGAGGATGTTTGAAATGGGTTTTGCAGATTCTGACATATCCTCATTGCTCACTTAACACCACAAACACCTACATGCATGCCACGAATGCATATTAACTGACTACCTCTCTCTTTTGCTGGACTGCCACATCCCCCTTCTTCCATCCCTTTGTTTAGACATTTCCAATGTGAACATCAACATTACATTAAGTAGAATTCTGTCCATAGCCCTAATCATTGCAATAAAAACTAACCTCGTGAATTGGAAATCACGACACAAAAGCAATATCACAATTTGGAAAAACCTGCTTATGGAATACATTTGAATTGAAAAATTATCTGCCGGCATAAAAAAACAAACCATTGATATTGATGCAATCTGGAACCCATTTATTGTTAAATTTAATTCATAATCCTCAATCCGATTTCAGCCACCACCCCTTTCTACTTCTTGAAGGTCATGCTACTATTTACATGCCGACCCCTTGGATAGTCTTTAGAGACTGGCCTGGACAGTTGGTAAAAACTATGCTTCAGCAAAGTGACACACCCTATAGACTATTCTGCACTGTTCTATTATATTCTGTTCTATTTTATTTACTTGTACTATTTTATCTGTCTTATTGTGTTGCACTGTTGGAGGAGCCTGTGACCTAAGATTTTCATTGTCATAACTACACTACTACGCACACATGACAATAAAAAAGCCTTGAAGCCTTGCCTTGTCACTCTTGTTGGCCTCTTATGATGCTGCTGTCTTTTAATACAGTATATGATTATTGCCTCAGCCGCTAGTTCGTACCTTGCAGATTCTTCAGTCTCATCAGCCTCATCCTTCCATCAGTCCCAGTCAACGCCTCCAGCACACTTCCAGTGTCTGACTCCATATGATATTGTCCTGATGAACGCAGCGTGCACACGGCCGTAAGGGTCCACAAGGCCGTAAGGGGCGGCCGTAAGGGTGATGCCCCATGATCACAAAATGATCCCTCTCTAGAGTCGGATTGCCAAGGACCTCATATTATGTGTGTCATTAATGTTACATCACCCATTATAACAATGTTCTTTCCTTTTTTCTCTTCTCTTAACTGAACAGTCCTGTCTTTAAGTATAATACAATGTAAAGTCCTTTTCCTGCACCATTTGAAGGCTTCAAAACAAGGCATTTTTTATGTGTTTGGAGAAATAACAATCAATGGCCAAGAATTGTACTTTATAAACTCTGAATCTTGCAGTGCTTGAAAAAATACACAATGGCTAAGCCGGCCAGGTTATATATGCCTTTTTTGGAGCCCTCTTTTGCAATATTTATTAAAATATCAGCTTACGTTCCATTTCAACTATTTTAGACAGGAAACCTTTATTGACTAACCA